CCAATTAAATTGTTTCTGACTTGATGTCTGACTAGCATGTGTGACTTTCTCAGTTCTGGCCTGTATAATAAGATCCAGTGCAACCCTATAAAGCCTATGATCTAGATACTTTGCTTATACCTACACTTGTGAGTTGTGATTGGTACCCAACATTCAAGAAGTACAATCCTATTTCTAGTGGCTCAAGAATCCTGTCATTAATAGTCAGAAATCTAGGTAGAAATCGTATTACCAGATAAGTTGCCCACAGTATCCTGAGCTTCTGGCACCCCTAGGCTATTTTCTACTGGCACCCTAGAATATTCATACTATAATAACCAGACTCTAGTATATATAAATACAAAGAATATAGATAGAAGCACATTGTTTCATGCCTTTACACCTGTATATACACTGAATTAAATAAAACAAAATTTGTTTAACAAAAACCATGGCCAGCCAACAATTAACAGCCAACTTTACAAAGCTAGTAAAGTAAAAAAAAAAAAAACTTAATTAATTAATTTGAATATAAAAACAAAGTTTCTGTATTTTTTACGACAAGACTTTGAACACTTGGGGGAAAATAATACGTTATACTAATACAAAGAGCCTGTTATCTAATGGATTGTATTCTATCATTTACTCCCATTATCTTTTAAAAATTAAAAATAAAAACATATCAATAGTATGTGAAATATTTACCTGTGAGATCCGCCATCAAATATCGCCTTTGCCTAAATTTCTCGGGCTTTTCATATTGGTTTGTTGTCTTTCGCGGGTGAGAATAGCGTGTACGACTTTTAAATCTTTTAACAAATGGTCAAAAGTCGAAAAAATATTAAAAAAAACGAGATTTTACTGCAAAAACCTCGAAAAGCAAAAATTTTTTTGATAAAACCAGGGGGGTGTGAAAATTGTAGCGGGCTCAGAATTGAGCCTGGTCAGCGGTAATTCCATGAGCCGGAGGAACCAGTTGTCATGGAAATGGCGTCATATGGCGCGAAAATCCGCCATGTTTTTGCGGACACTTTTTTGGCCGAGCACTTCCTCCAGTAATATAGTATAGCTCAGTGGTGTTGAGTGGGTGGTCATCCTCACTGATCTCAAAAATATGGCGGACTGTCATGGATAGCGAACACTGATTGGTCAAATTTAAAATTTGTTGTTGTATGACAAATGACGACTTCAACTGACAGATACTCCATGAAAATAATTTGCTTTTTACACTACAGTATTTTGTACGTTTGCAAAAAACTTTGACAGCTTTCAAAGCAATTTGTTCTATAAAAAAGTTTAATAAAACAATTAAGGTATCAAATACCAATTGAAAAGATATGGAGCCAAATGAAGAGCGGCAAGGAAACGACAAGAAAGCCGAACGTCTAGCGAAAAGGAGGGAGCGAAGACGACAACGTTTGCTCGAGGAGACTGCTGAGGAAAGAGAAGCTCGCCTGGGAAAGCGTAGAGAAGCATGGAAAAGACTGCTGAGTGAAGCGAAAGGTAAGAAAAGGCTTGTCTTCACAACGCTATGTAGTAATCTACTAATGTTACTGTAGCTATACGAGTTGAAGTATGATATTCGACCCTCTATATTCGACTGTTTCTTCACAATTTTCCAATAAAGAGTTTGTCAAGACACGCTCAAGTCAGTATAACCAGACTGTATTTTATTTATATCAGTTATCACAGCCACAGGCAATTTTATGCTGTCAAATACCGTCGGTTGCAACTAAAGGTGAACAGTTGCAGATAAAACATTCTCTATTCTCATTAAAAAGCCTGTAAGGGTTTCCAGTAGGTCTCTAGCCCAACACGTTCAGACCACACAAAGTTTTTTTTACTTATTATTGTACACATGGGAAACAACAATTAAGTGTTGTTGTTCTTGACAAACATTGGAGATTCTAATCACGCAAATGTTTTTATGAGCAACTGTTCATCGTTAGTTGCAAACGACGGTACAACATACTATGAACATTTTTCCGACTGTGACCGAATGTGCAACGATATAATTTTCAAAGTTGTTATCAATTCCTAAAATTTGTTTATAGTAAAAGGGCCTGCTCAGCACTCACTACTCACGTTGATCCGATTTCATTTAGAAATGCAGTTACCGGGAAAGGAACTGATTCTAAAATATGTAAATTTAAAAGCATTGGCTAACAGAATAAAGCGATCGATGAAGACAAGGTACAAACTTTTATAGTTGCTATTTGTTATAAAATCCTATAAATAAACCGATTCAACAATAATTTTGCCTCGAATTTGCATATTCTATGCTGCATATTTATATTTTATTTTTATAGTATAAAAATAAAATTGTAATACTATGAAATAAAATACATTTCTGTTTATTGACCAGTACTTATTTAATGTCTTCTTCATCCAGTGGTCAGAGTAAATTTCTACTTCTAGCAAGTAAATATTTGACAAGCAGTCTGGAATAAGCACAGGACTTTTAATGCATCAGCCAAATCCAAGTGTGTCCATCCCCCTCGCCCAGCCATTTTCCTGTAAAGCACATCCCGGGGGTTGGGCATTTCCACTCGAACCTTAGCCCCGGTGGGGCATTTGAAATTAATAATTTGGATTCTTGCACTTCACTTGTGGAATTAATATTAGAATGTTAGGGTTTGTAATCATGTATATATTTTGTAATCCAAGTGAGAATATTTTGTAATCCAAGTGAGAATATACAAATGTATAGTACATGTATATATTTTGTGTATATATTTTGTAATCCAAGTGAGAATAGTTTGTAATCCAAGTGAGAATATACAAATGTATATATTCTCACTTGGATTACAAACCCTAACATTCCAATTTTAATTCCACCAAGTGAAGTGCAAGAATCCAAATTATTGAAGTCCACCTTATCACAACCCACACACCCGATTACCTAAATATACATGAACTTACGGTTACAGCTCAACAGCTGGCCTCGGTAGCTCAGTTGGTTAGAGCGCTGCACCGGAATTACAGGGCCGTAGGTTCAATTCCTACCAGAGGACCTTGTGCTGCATTTTTTGCAGTCGTTCCTGGTTAGGTCTTAAAATGTATATATTCTCACTTGGATTACAAACCCTAACATTCTAATATTAATTCCAACAAGTGAAGTGCAAGAATCCAAATTATTGAAGTCCACCTTATCACAACCCGCACACCCGATTACCTAAATATACATGAACTTACGGTTAAAACTCAACAGCTGGCCTCTGTAGCTCAGTTGGTTAGAGCGCTGCACCGGAATCGCAGGGTCGTAGGTTCAATTCCTACCAGAGGACCTTGTGCTGCATTTTTCGCAGTCGTTCCTGGTTAGGTCTTAAAATGTATATATTCTCACTTGGATTACAAACCCTAACATTCTAATATTAATTCCAACAAGTGAAGTGCAAGAATCCAAATTATTGAAGTCCACCTTATCACAACCCGCACACCCGATTACCTAAATATACATGAACTTACGGTTAAAGCTCAACAGCTGGCCTCTGTAGCTCAGTTGGTTAGAGCGCTGCACCGGAATCGCAGGGCCGTAGGTTCAATTCCTACCAGAGGACCTTGTGCTGCATTTTTCGCAGTCGTTCCTGGTTAGGTCTTAAAATGTATATATTCTCACTTGGATTACAAACCCTAACATTCTAATATTAATTCCAACAAGTGAAGTGCAAGAATCCAAATTATCGAAGTCCACCTTATCACAACCCGCACACCCGATTACCTAAATATACATGAACTTACGGTTAAAGCTCAACAGCTGGCCTCTGTAGCTCAGTTGGTTAAAGCGCTGCACCGGAATCGCAGGGCCGTAGGTTCAATTCCTACCAGAGGACCTTGTGCTGCATTTTTCGCAGTCGTTCCTGGTTAGGTCTTAAAATGTATATATTCTCACTTGGATTACAAGCCCTAAGATTCTAACATTTGAAATTAAGGATTTGGAGGTTTTGCGATCACTGATAACTTGATAATAATATAAAACAAAACACTTCTATCTGCAACTTTTACAATCACTGATAACTTGATAATAATTTAAACCAGTCAAGTTGTAGTTTAAATAGAGAATAATACATGGGTGCACGAAATACCAGATTTATTTCGAGTGTTGAACATTAGTGTGCAGCGAACAAGTGAGCGCAGCGAACGAGTGAGATGTCATGTTCAACACGAAAAATAAATCTGGTATTTCCAACCACCCATGTATTTTTCTGTTTATTATATAAAGGACAGTCTTAAATGAAAAGCGATAATTTTTACAGAAAAGCGATAATTGAAAAGGCGATAATTTTCACATGTGAGATTATCATAAATAATTTCACATGTGAGATTATCTATGGTTTTATAAAAAGGAAGGGTGTGTCGGAATACGAACTACTTGGGAGGGGATCGCCTGAGGTTATAAATAAAATTGTTAATATTTGCGGCAAAGGGGAACCTAAGGAGAGGAGACTGCCTAATCTTAATATTATTAGTTATCAGGTATGTAAACGGCTTGGTGTGAAGGCTGACTGGTCTTTACTTAGGATTCCTAAGGGGAAGGCTCCCCACGATCGGTGTATGGAAATATTTGAGACATTAGGTTGGGGTTATGTTGAATAAATTTTAATGTTTATTGGAACCATTAAAATTGAAGTACTAGTCTTAGGGCAATAATAGCAAGGAGAACCTCAACCGTTATTGGAATTAGCAGGAGGCTGATCAGACACAACCACACCAGTTTCCGTGGTATTCTCATCATTTCGTTTATCGTATTTCTTTACGGTTGTGCTGGCATAACCGATTTGGGTATGTGCGATCATCGTGATGTCTCCTCGTTCGATGCCAATGCCAAGGTTGAACATTTTCCTTCTTTTATGATCTTTGTTGCACTTTATTCTGTTCTTGGTTTCAGGTTTTGAGGACAGGCATTCCCTTTTATTTCTTAGCCTTATGTTTGATGGGTTTGGGTTCAGGTTCCGGACAGCATTCGCCCTTTTTCATGTATCTGTAGTTATTTACGCTAGAGCTGTTAAATTCAACTCTTGCATCTGCAGCAAAGGTTAGACTTCCCTTACCCACCTTAACGCCAACGTTTTCTTCCTTATTTTTCTTCTGCTCTTTTTTCCTTCTTCTTTTCGCTACTCATTTTTATTTAACCGGAAAAATAAAATGCCATTCAACATGACGTTCTTCCATCGGTTTGAAAATATATTTCTGATTTAATTGCTTTTGTTTGTGGAAACACCACGTAAATTTATTACTGCAGTAATAAATAAGTAACAGTAATAAATAACAATAATAATTAACAGTAATAATAATTTATTACTTGCAGTAATAAATTTACGTGGTGTTTCCACAAACAAAAACAATTATATTTTATCGCCATGCAAACATTCAAAGAACTTATATTTCTGATTTGTCCTACCTATCATTGGAATAAGACCTATGATCAGGATTTCATTCACGAGGACGACAATTTCTTTGTTATTCCGTGTCGGCAGGATGACGTGGAAGACTACCTTAAATTTGTAGTGGACTTCACCGGGGGAAGGGAATCTCTCATCATTCTGGACGACTGTGCCAGTACTAAGTCTGTGAAGGATCGGACTGGAGAGCTGGTTGACCTTGGCTTTAGCGCACTTCACATGAGTATTTTCACCATTGTTATTACCCAACAGCTGACCTCTATTGCTAAGCCGTACAGGCAGAATATTTCAAAATTGGTGACGTTCTATAATCCGAATAGGCAGGACATGGAGATTATTTTGGATGAATACCTTCTTGTTGACAGTGCGGAAATGAGATCTATCAAGGAGAAGTTGAAGGAGAATAAGTATTCCCATCTTGAAGTGGAAATAATACACCCGTTCAATCATGAAGTAAAAGTTAATATAGTATAATAAAGGGGAATGGAACAGGAACCACCAAACGCAGAAAATACGGAGATAGAGGACAGTAGGGCAGAGCTTATTCGCCTGTCCAATGCAGGGGAGATTAAAAAATCCGAAAGTTACCTGAAGAAGGCATCCGGGAAGGTTATCATGAAGGTACGGAGGGAATATATTACCGCCCAGAGAGAAAAGGCGAACGTGGTACTGGCAGTGGCTTTAATTGAAAAATGTTCGGATCTCATGGAAGCTATCAATATGGTGGATAGTGGGAACGAACTAAGGGAGGAATTAAATCAGGATAAACTGTTTTTAAGAGTGATGTTAAAAGCGTAGTAGCAAAGCTGTCCCCATACATACATACATACCCTACCTGGGTATTGTTAGTGGTGGAGTGACGACAGTGAAACATGTTTATCGAAAGACACCTGAACAACCACCTTCTGAGGAAGGACCGGAGACTGATGATCAAGCGTAAAATTTTCCAAACTCTGTTGAGCATGGAAAAACTGTGGATCTGGAATAATTTGGTACTTTATTCCGGCAAGTTGTCCGTTCGTGATCTTGATAACACCGTCGGAAAGGACGAACAAGTAACATACAACGTCTGCAGTTGTGACCTTCTTTGTGATCCCCACCAGTATTCCAGATTGGGTGTTCTGGATTTTAGCACCGTTTCCATACGTGTTGGCGTCGCTTGCGGTTCTGAGATCGATGACCAATGGGAATTTTTTGTCCTTGAAGGATCCGGTTAGTGTCTGGTGACTGATTTCGTCGGTACCGAACATTCGCCTTGCCTCCTCGTATAGTCTTGTTTTGGGGATGCCCTGGCTATAGACTGCGTTGGGAACACCTTCTATGGTTACCCTGACCTTTTCGATATTGGGGTAGATATATTCCTCGCTGTCTGTCTTTGTCTTGTTTGTGAATAGCATAACAATGGCTTTCATACTTCTGCGTGGTACGTTGATCGTTTCGTTGATGATGGTGGAATCTTTGCTCCATTCCGTTTTCTTCATTAGGGTAACATGTTCGAAGGATAGCTCGCGTTCAGATCCATACAGACCCTCGGCTTTCCTTGCGAGATCGATGTTGTCGATGGACTTGTATTCTAGTTCGATGTTCTCTAGCGTGTATCCTTCCACGGATTCCCCACCTTGGGCGTTCATAAATTCAGCCGCTGTAGGTAGGGTGATCACATATTGTAAGTCGTTTGCCATGTTGTGTGGAGCATAAAGTCCGTGGTCTTTGAGGATCTTGTTGACCCGGATTTTCTGTTTCGTTCCGAATACACCGAACAACGCGGTGGCCTCTGTATCGTCGTTTGCGGCGTCGTCTTTGGATATTCTCTTCCTTGTGGCTTCGCTGGCGATACCATCCTCTACCATATCGTCACGCTGCTTGTTGTGTAGCCATAGGTCCTTGTAGACTTCCAGTAAGCTTTCTGCGCTGTTGTTGTAGACCTTTTCTCCTGCGAGTCGGATTTCCAGTCTTTTCTGGAGCTGTTTTCAGGGGACAGACGGCCCAAGCTAACAGCACGTTTCATCTTACTGCCGAGTTAAACACATTACAAGATGAGGGTAAAAACCAAGGTAAACTTATTAAAAGAAATAAACTGCAGCTCTAAACTGTCTTCCCTAGCGGTACAGCAAAAGTAATCTTTTATATTGATTCAGTATTTCTACAGGAGGGGCCTATAAACAAAAGTGAGATTGTATCTACCATTTCTAAATCAGTACAGTGATGAAAGCGTTTTCTGTTGTATATAACAGGCACTCGCCTCGGGCTCGTGTTTATACATCTTATATAACACTTACGTTCATGCGGTATTTAATTCATACAAATTCCAATGAGGTGCATGTACTTAGATAAAACATGACATACTCTCAAATACATCAAGACACAGAAGCATGCCATATGTCTTCTTCATATTACGACTTTGTGATAACGGGAATGCATAGGTTACTTGTATATGTCATTTATACACTTGAGTACTTAAAATTCAGGTGTCATATTTAAACACAACACTTTTAGTTTTATGTTTAATTGTTCTTCAGAAGTCGCTCGAGCATGGAATCTATTTATTTTATCAACCTCATATTCATATTTGCTGTGAATGTAATCTTCTTTTTCTCAGGAATATGTTTAAATTCCTTGGTCATACTCAGTTTCCGGTGGTCAGTACAACTTCGAAAGAAGTTATGTTATTTCATGAGAATGGTTTTGTCCTGTTGCGATTTGCTCGCGGTTTTAACAAATAGTCCATCGATGGCGCTTATCTCGATGTCATGGTTGACGGGAAAGTGGGATGTAAAAGCTAGATGGTATCATTTTTCCTTAGGATCGACAAGTGTTTTCTTTGTTTTTTCATATTTTGCTCTTTTGGTGATGAATTTCGATCGACATTTGGCGACATCTTATCCTATCTTTCATCGAACATTGGTAACGAAAGGAAGACTTTTAAGTCTTCTTGCAATACTGATCATCGTCGTAGTACCTTTCAGAGTGATGTCTGTAAACGATATTGTTATTTCACACCAAGTACATATCATAATGATTTGTATTATTCTCGTTCCTCCAACGTTATTTATCAACTACAAACTGTTTGTAGTCGTCAGGAAAAGTCGTAAAAACAAAAGAATATCACTCGAAATAAAAAAGCCGTTTTCTTTGAAAAATATATCGAGTTGTTTGCTGGCAGTCGCTTGTCTTGTGGTGGTCTTCATTACAAAATGCGTCTACATTGGATTAAGAATAAACTCGACAGAGAGAAGAAATACTTTGAATAATGCACAACTTGTAGGGCTCTGGGCTAAAACAATAACTTTGATGAATTGTACATTTAACTGTTTAATATTTTACTGGAAAAACAAGGTGTTACGTACCGAAGGATGGAAAGTTCTGAAAAGCCTGAAAATACGTCGACGGGTTGAATCCTGCACTAATAACCCTCCTTCAAAAAAAGTAAGGGTATAGAAGGAAACTCACTAACAATATTTTGGTCATAGTAAATGTGAACACAACGAACTATACACTTATATTGTTCTATATATTAATACCCATATCATCATCACTGTAAGAAAGACAACAGCTGTAACAATATGGTATATAAGGCACTGTTGCAATTTCATCCATTCCTGAATATGACTAAAATATAGTCGAATAAAAACGTAGAAAAATAAAAATGCTTTTATTTCTTTAAGTTATTTCATTACAGGCAGGGTGTATAAAAAATTTGTCATGTTATTGTGCTTTAAGGACTGGGTATGTATAGATTTAATTTTTCCATCCTAACAAAGATTAGGCCTTTAACTATCGAACTATACTAACATGACCGATTTAAATGGCCTTTTTTTTCAATAATAATTGCAAACGTGTATGTTCTGCATGAGTGTTGAAATTATTCTCTGATACAATAGTTAAAATTCAAAAGAATAACAAGGAACATGTCGAAAGATTACTCAAATATTCAAAATAAGAATAATCTAGTCTCGGCAATTAATTTAAAGATGATTTAACTCTCGATTAGACAACGAAATTTTGTGGATAAAACATTTTACGAAACCTGAAGTTTGCAAAGAACTTGCAATGCCTATATTATGTTTCTCTCATATAAACAGTGACCACCATTTGGGCAAATGTTTGAAAATTCTGAGAATATTTTGTGGCAGCAGAGATAGAAAATTTTTTTTCGACCGGTAATTTCAAGTCATTCCTATTTCGCCATTTTTATTTGCAATGAGGCATCTTAAAATGATCTTCTAAAATATATTTGAGGGTTTCAAACTCTTGAAATTTACAAAGTAAATAAACACATTTTAGAGAGAGTCTAAAATCCAGAAAACTTCTCACTTTCGACAAAAATATACATTTGTATGAAATTATTTTAAAATGTTTATTTCTCGTCACAACGGCTAATTCTCGTTCGTAGCAAATCATGTACACTGCATAGTGACAGGTGACAAAGCTAAAATTACGAAAATAAGTCAACAGTCGAACTTGCATATATCGAGCATCTGTTGTTTGCCTGTCAGCAAGATGACTTAAAATATCAATTAGACGTATTAGTTCGAAAATGAATGTGACTATTCAACATCACCCAAGGACAAACGAATTAATTTTTTGTTAAATTTGGGTAAGAAGTGGATGAGAAAATAGATAATGTTTCTCTTGCTTTGTCGAACAGAGTAAATTTGAATGCGTAATGTTGAATCCCATTGAATGATTTATGCATGATATACGTATCTTAATTCAGTGACGAAGGTATATGCCGTCTCTGAGTGCCCCTCCGCCCCAGTTGTTTTATGTGGTTTTGAAGAATTTGTTTTTGTTGAGAAAATGCTGCTCTTGTCCGCTGCTCTCCATAAAATATACGCACTTTGGTAGGTAATATTTTTAATCGATTGTGCGCAACGGATTGCCGAAAATTGGGAAATATGATCGACGTTGATAATTAACCTTCATTGACCAGCCGATGAATATAGAGTTATATTAAGGTTCAGCCGACGTCATATTGTGTAGTGTTAAGTACGGATTAGAAGAGAATAAGAATGCATGAGAGTTGGCAGTCACGCGATCGTGGTTGGCTGTTCTTATTGCTTTCCCAACACTATCATGTATTCTATTTAAGTTAAAACTTGGTTGGAAGGTTCCGTCAAATCTTTATTTTGTTAATCTTTATTTTTATTTTGTTATTTGCAGGACCCCACTAAAAAACACTTTGGTGATGTGGGTATCCTGGATAAATATGAAGATAATAGTAATAATAATAATCTAGAGCTTAAAATGACCCCAGTAACAAAACGTGGCTGCCAACACGCTCAGCAACTCTCATCCTCGTTTGACTGCCACTAAAGTGTGTCATTGTCATAAATTTAGATACACGCACGACCACCTTGTGCGACTGATATGCAATAATAAACTTTTCAACCGTTACATTCGCGGCAAGAATATCGCTCTTATTCGGAGTTTAATTAATGCACAACTGTGTTACTTCTGCGTTTAATTCGCTTCAGAAGAAGTCGCTCGAGGATGGAGTCCTATTATTTTATCAACCTGATATTTTTATTAGCTGTAAATGAACAGGTGGGAAATTTGTCTGAGCATACGCGAGTAAAATGAGCCACGCAGTTGCGCGGAATACACGCAACGCGTGTTTACAAAAAGGCACAATCGTGTAAATATGACCAAATGTTTGTACAAAATAAATGACTGTTTTATGTTGAAAGAGTAGACATGATCTAAATTAATCATACAGAATTTTTTAGTGACGTTCTATTTCAGTACCCTGGCATTGTCTCTGGTGGGCTGTCCGTGTGCATTCGATCTGAAACAGTTGCTACTTTGCTGTCGAAGAATTTCGAATGTTTACATGAAAATAGAGGCAAGTCATGCATTTTACAACCTCTTAAACTGTATAAGCCCCTATTTTTACGCTTATACCTAAGATGTCAAATAAAAGTACATGAAACAGAGAACATTTGTAGAAAGTTTTATCGTGAGGCCACGGCCAGTTTTTAAAATATCTTTATTTCTGTTCCGGTCATCACCAAAATTACACAAAAGCCGGGCTTGAATATACAACAAATTTTGAATCTCATCAAGCACAAAAATACTTAACGTGTAACCAAAATATGCTCATGAAATCGAAATTAATAGCTAAATTTTCAAACTAGACCCTTCTCGAAGCGGTTTTCATGAAGGAAATTCACATTTCGGCCTTTGATTCTTGGCAAAAATTTGACCACAACACGTGCGAAGCAACTGGGTCTCAAAGACTGAACTAAAACATTGTGAGCCCCTATTTTCCTGACGATATGTTTGATACCTACAAACGCCGAAAAGTTTTTTCTTTTCATTTAGCTATATTTGAAATTGAGGCCACGGGCTATTTTTGAGAAACTATAGTTCAAAGTCAAGCTATTTTTACATATTTTCAAAATTTGTCAAATTTCGCGAGCTTGTATTTTGAACTTAGACAGCCGAAGTTACATTATGAAACATAGGATGAAAAATTTGAGGCATATAAAGTTAATTTCAACTTACATTTCATTCTCAAATCACGTCTTTCTTCGTTTATTACGGTTTTAAACAAGTCATAGATCGACGTATACGGTATTTACTCCCATGTTCACGTCGCCATATTAACTTCTTCCAATCACTCGATTACAAAACAATCATCCCAAAACAAAGAATTCATGATCGACTTTTAAAAGAATAACCAATAATTTTCAAATCGTTGAATGGAAAGCAAAAAATCGTCAGCTAAAACAGCTTCTTGCTAACTTTCTGCTTTGTTTTGAATGTAAATGCAATGAGCTTTGTTTCTGCCCGCAATTTTTTGGTCAGCGACGACAAATTTCCCACCTGTTCTGTAAATGTATTCTTC